ATTTGTTGGGCTGAATCTTGGTGTTTTGTAGGTTTTTGTGGACACAATATGCCTGGTGACTTCTCACCTTCTTCCTCTCCTTTTTCCTCTCCTTGCTCCTTCCTCTCCTCCCTTCCTCCTCAACTTGTTCCTTCCTCTCCCTCATTCCTTCTTCTTGTTCCCTTTTTTCCTTCCTCCTTCTCCTTGTTCCTTCCTCTCCTCTATTCCTCCCTCTCCTTGTCCTTCCTCCCCCAGACAACAACCCGAGAACAGAGACCGTGGAGGACAAATCCCCCTGGCAGAACCTCATGGAAGAGGCTGTTTTGAACAGCTCCACTGTGCAGGAAGGCAATGGGGAGGAAAAGCCACAAACATTCCCCATGGGAAAGGGCTCCAAACCCACTCCATGGTGCTCCGAGGAGGAAAGACCCCCCGTGTGCTGGGAAGGTGGCTGGAGCTTCAGCCAGAGCTCTGATCTGGTGGTCCACGAGCAGCTTCACAGCAGAGAGAAGCCCTTCACGTGCTTGGAATGTGGGAAGAGCTTCAGCTGGAGGTCCCACCTGATCCGCCACCAGAAGATCCACACGGGGGAACGGCCCTACACATGTGGGGAATGTGGGAAGAGCTTCAGCCAGAACTCTGACCTAGTGGTCCACCAGCGTCTTCACACCGGGGAACGGCCCTACAAGTGCTTGGAATGTGGAAAGAGCTTCAGCAAGAGCTCCAGCCTCACGTACCACCAGCGCTTCCACAGTGGGGAACGGCCCTACAAGTGCTTGGAATGTGGGAAGAGCTTCAGCCAGAGCTCCCACCTCCTCACCCACCGCCGGCTGCACACAGGGGAACGGCCCTACAAGTGCCTGGAATGTGGGAAGAGCTTCAACCGCAGCTTCAGCCTTGTCATCCACCGGCGTGTCCACACCGGGGAACGGCCCTACAAATGTCCTGAGTGCGAGAAGAGGTTCCGGACCAGCTCTGATCTCCTTCTGCATCAACGAATGCACACAGAGGAGAGGCCCTTCTGCTGCACCGACTGTGGGAAGGGCTTTGTCCGCAGCTCTGACCTCATTAAGCACTGGCACATCCACACCGGAGAGAGGCCCTACAGGTGCTTGAAGTGTGGGAAGAGCTTCAACCAGAGCTCTGCCTTGACCTCACACCAAAGGACTCACCGGTAAGGGAAACCATCCGAGTGCCCCAACTGCAGGAAGAGCTTCGTCCGCTGCTTCAACTCCATCACCCGCCAGAGGACCCATGTTGGATGATCTGCAGTGACTCACATTGGGCAGAGACCTGGTGGGTAAAGGCCTGTTGACCAACGTTTCTGGTGACCCATGTTCCTTGTAACCCACTGTGGTAGTGCTTTACCCCCCCCCCCAGGCCTCGCTGTGATCTGAGAAATGCTTGTTAGGCCTCAGCCTTGATGAACAGCCCTTGAGCTGAGCTGCTCTTGAGCTGCTCAGAAACACTGTCTGCTCATAGGAACTGGTGCTGTCTAATGAACTCCTGCTTTTCTTAACCAATGGCCTTGAAAACTTGTTTTTCTTGCCCAAAGAACAACCCAAGTGGAATCGTATTTTTGTTCTCCAGCTTTCAGAGAAAGTCCCTAACCTGAACTGGGGCCAGGATGGACAATTCCTGTGCCTTAAAACCCCCTCTGTGTGGGCCCCATAACCAACGGTGCTGATTGAGACCCTTTGAGCTCTCTGAGGCCGCAGCAGCTGCGACAGCAACCTCCCTTTGTTTGGGCCTCTCAGAGCCCCCAACTCTCCCATTTGCTGCACTCGGAGGATCCTGACCGACAGCAGATCTGGGGCTGATCCCTCTCACTCCTTGAGGCTCAACCGTTCTTCTGAGAATGTGCAGTGGCATCCCAAGGGAGTATTTTCCTGAATCCCAAGGGAATTGTTCCCAGGTACCTTGTCCAGACTCTTTCTGTCTGTGTGAGTGTGAATCTGCCATAACAAATGTCCCAGGAACGCTGCTCTCCTGGATTCTTCAGCACTTTGGATTTGTAAGTCAGTCAGACCTGTGAGTTACTCTTATGGTGTCATAAATTCTATATGAATGCTTTGCTAAATTGTTTGACTTCAGTTATCAGTTAAGTGCTGTTGGGCCTCTAGGCATAAACTGTTTATCAAGTTCAGGGTCAGTTTAGCATGGTGGCAGCTGCAGCAGGGGCCTGACCCTGCCCAGGACGGCTGATGCCACCTGCCTGCTCCAAACTGGGCCGGACTGGTGCTCCCAGTGCTTTGTGAGCCAGGGCCGCTTTTGGGGACCCCCCTGGCACTGTCTGGCTGGTTTTGGGGTGTCAGCACCTGCCCAGCACTGGGGATGGGCTGTGTGGGAGGAGTTGGGGCTGGACTGGTGGTGCTGGGAACTCCCCCGGCTGCGGGTGAGGGGAACTCGGAGGAGCAGGAAGGGGAGAGACAGTGGGAAAGCAGGAGGAAAGAGGGAGTGGGACACCCAAACCAAGCGGGACAGGGGGGCGACAACCCAAACCAAGATCAGTGGTGGCTGGGGCTTGTGGACAATTGGAAAGGGGGAGGAGAGAGAGGAAAAGGTGGGGCTTTGGACCATCAAAATGAGCTGAGAGGGGCTAGGTCACCAAATCCAAGCAAGGTGAGGGGGGATACCAAGCTGTCGGGGGAGCTGGGGATTGTGAGGATGATGAGGAAGGGGTGAGACAGTGAGGAAAAGAGTTGGAAGAGCGGGCACAGGTATCCCATGGGGGTCCTGTAGCAGGATGCTCTGCCTGGAATGGGGTAAAACAACACCAGCAAGGCCCTGTTTGAAAAGCCCTCAGTGGGAAATTAAGAAGGGTGGGGAGGAGGTTGTCATGCTGTTTTGGGGACTGAACAAAGCTGAAACCAACCTGACTCATCAATCCCTAAGTTAAACATCCTGAGAGTGAGAGAATATTTGGCAGACCTTGTAAAATATCTGGATATAAAGGAACAAACAAGTGACACCACTGAGAACTTCTCCAAAGCTGCTGAACTGGCATAGCCTGGACACACCTGACTGACAGTCCAGCACTTTATACTAGAAAAGCCTAGTCCCAAATTTTAAAGGCAGGGTCTTCTGACATGTCCCTTCTTGGGATTGTGTGTGGAGATTCCTGCCTGGAGTGGGGACACCCCTCAAAGTCACTCCTCAAGGCTAAGCCAAAGAGATTTGCCTAAGGTCTTTGGTCTAGGTGAGTGACATCAATCTCTACTTAATAATTGGTTTTGGTTAAATGCAATTGCTTAATACAGTTGCTTCAATATTGCTTCCTAGTGCACTATATTACAACAGTTGTTATAGCTCCTATACTGAGTAGTAAATAATTCTGATTAAGATATTTTTACTTAATCATTATCATAATAAATCCTGTATATATTTATATAAATATATTTTGTTTGTAGTCCAGACGCCTGGGATATCACCATGGAAACCCTGTCACTGCATGGGACATCACAGCTCTTTAGCAGCATAGACACCTCTGTTGTCACCATGAAGCCTCTGTGAGTGCTGTGGCAAATTGGCTCCTTAGCAACCATCACAATTTCCTGTTGCTGTGGTCAGTTTCCATGACAACTATCACCAGGACATGTTGCTCATGCATGGCCCGTGGCAGCTCCATGGAGATGCAACCACCCTGGGGTGGTTGCCATGGGAACAAGCTGAGTCCTGTAGCCAGGGTCCGTTGCTATGGCAGCGATTTACGATCCTATACCGCTTGTCAGTTACCACAGCACCCATCAGTGGACCCCTTCCTAAGTGTGGTGCCATGGCAACCAAGATTTGGACCAGTTGTGATAGTTGGTTGCCGTGGAAACCTGCATTAGGGCACATTGCTATGGGCTTGTGCCATGGAATTCTGGGTCTGTGACATTTCCGTGGCAGCTTGGATCAGCTGTCCCGGCAGTCATCATAGAAACCCATTGTCATGGACACTTGCACTGAGACCTGTTGCTAGCTCTGGTTGCCATGGCAACCATGAAAAAGACCCATTGCTATGGCAGTTGCTATGACAACCTGCAGGGAGACCGTTGCTGCAGTTTCCATGGCAACCATCAATAAATCCATTGCCAGGGACCTCACTCGAGGGCACTTCCATGAGTTGTTTGCCATGGAAACCATCCCACAATCTTATTGAAAGGTTGGTTGCCATGGCAAGCAATATAAGAATCCATTGCTAAGGTTGGTTGTCATGGCAACCATCCCAAAGCCCAATGCCCTTTTGCTGTGGCAGGGGGACAGCACTGACCCTATGGGACCTGGTGCTGGGCAGTGGGCACTGGGAGATGGTTTGGGCTTGGAGGGAGTAAGTTTCCTTCCAGGGGGCTTTTCTGGGACTGGGCTGGGAACAGGGGGGAAAATTCTGGGAGGTTTTTGTTTCCGCCCAGAACCAAGGCCTGTCCTGCCAGCAAAGGGAGCTGGAGGTGCACCAAGAGTTGGGAGGGGACACAGCCAGGACAGGTGACCCCAACTGACCCCAGCAATGTCCCAGACCATGTGGCATCACTCTGAGGTGTGGGAAAGGAGGGCAGACTGGGGAAGGAGGGAACACTGGGAGCGATGATGTTTGTGTCCCGAAGTCACCATTCCCTGAGGTGGAGCCCTGCTCCCGTGGGGAAGCTGAACACCCTCCTGCCTGTGGGAAGCAGGGAGGGAGTTCCTGATTTTTGCTGCTCCCATGGAACTGTCTGCGCCTCAGCCCAGGAGTTTGGTCTCTTTTGCTCTCTGGGTTGTACCCTGTCCCGCAGGTGCTCAGACGTCGCCACAATTAGCGATGGAACCAGGTGTGAGGGCCAGTGCTGGAGAAACAAACTCAGAGAGACATCAATAGGGACTGTTGCCATAGCAACCAGCACTTGGACTATCAGTCCACTGCCAGGGACTCTTGCCATGGCAACCAGAACCATTTCTCGTGACCTAGGGCTGTTGCCATGACAACCATCCCTCAGTCCATTGCCAGGGACTGTTTCCATGAACACCTGCACTGAGACCAATGACCAGGGCCAGTTGCCATGACAACCACCATACAGGTCCATTGCTATGGTTGGTTTCTATGGAAACCATCTGATAACCCATAGCTATGGCAGTTGCTATGGCAACATTCCCACGAGCTGGTTGCTGAGGTCAGAAACAATCACAGTCCAGTTACTGGAGTTGGGTTACCGTGGGAACATTCACTGAGATTGGTGGCTATAGCTGATTGCCATGGCATAGTTAAACGTGGCAACTATGCCATGGCATAGTTAAAACCCATTACTGGGAATTGCTTCCATGGAGATGTGAGCTGAAACCCTTTGATATGATCAGTTGGCATGGCAACCATTAGAAGACTTGTTACTGGAAACTGGTTCCATGAAAAACTAAACAGAGACCCATTGCTATGGCAGTGGTCTCCATGGCAACCAGCAAATGACCTGTCACGATGGTGGTTTGCCATGGTAACTTCCTCCAATGCTAGTTGTTGAGGACTTTTGTTACGGAGATTTCCACTGGGTCCAGTTACCAGGGGTGGTTGCTGTGGCAACCTGCACAAAGACCCAGGGCTTGTGTTGGGTGGCGAGGCAACCTGCACTGAATTTCTTGATGCAGATTGTTTACCATGGCAACTGTCATAAAGCCCCATTACAAAATCTTGGTGCTATCACAGCTTCCTCTTCTATGTGTTGCTATGGTTGGTTGCCATGGCAACCATCATCAAACCCTTTGTTACAGCCCATTGCCATGGGCAATGCCACTGAGATTCATTGCTAAGGTCAGTTACTATGGCAACCATCCTAAATTCTCATTGCTAAGATCAGCTACCATGGCAACCATCCTAAATTCCCATTGCTACGGTCAGTTACTGCAGTGTCCTGCTTACAGAGAAGGGGATGGAGTTTAGTGCAGTGTGGGGATGACCAGGTATTTATTCCACATCCATGTCATCGCTGGGAATGTGGTTTGGGCAGGAAAAGCCAGGGCTCTGGACACAAAGTGACCCATCCTGCTTTGCTCTCTCTGGTGGAGGGACTGTCAGCATCAGACCTGTGCTTCCTGTCCTCTGCCCCACTGGTTCCCCCTCCCATTTTCTCCAGAGCATGACAACGGACCTCTGATGCTGAAAGGGACAGAGGGGAAAAACATAATTGACAACAGTGCTGAACCAACAGCTCCTCCGGGGAAGCTGCCAGCAGGGACAGAGTGGTGACAAGGTGATTCCCCCCTCAAGCTGAACTTCTCAAGCGAGAGAAAAGGAGGCCTGCGCAGGACTGAGCCTCAAGGAGCGGCTGCGTGGCACTATCAGGACGACCCAGCTCCTGGGGTTTGGTTTGTCCTTGTTTTCATTGTTTTCAGGCTGAGGGGACGGGAAATGTTAGCCTTGGCACATTGCTGTGTTAGCTCCCCGAGCACATTGCCTTCATTTCCCAAATACCACTTGGCACAGCATGCAGGAGCTCCCCCACCACATTGCCTTTGTCTGGGGACACTACGCAGACACATCCCACGAGGAGCACCTGCCATCTTATTTGTGTGCCCAGTGGTGAATACCTTTTGGGGGTGAAACACTTTCTCTTTTTGTATACTTTTGCTCTTAATATTGCTGTTGTTACTGTGCGTGTCTTATTCCATTGCTGTGTGCTTTCAGTAAATTGTTATCTGAACCCAGAGTCTCTCCTTTTTTGTCCATCCCTTACCAAAAGGAGTGGGAGAAGGGGATTGACTTATTTGGATTTTAATTTCCTGCTGGTGTTAAAACCAGCACACCTGTCATGCACCAGCCTCAGGAAAGATGGAATAATGCAGTGGACTGGTAAAGAGGAGACTGAGAGTAGTGGGTGGTGGGACTTGCAAACATTGGGATCCACATTTAGCAAAGGCCACCTGATCACTCAACTCTGGGGGATCTGCCCATTGGGCTGGCTCTGCCGTACAAAGGGATAAAGTTCCTGCAGTGCACATTAAAAACATTTTGGGGAAAATAGTCTGGGTTATTCCTGCCTCAGGCAAACCCACCCAAGGGATTGATGTTGTTCAAGGACACGGGTCCACTTGGTGGATATTTCAGAAGGATAGGAAATGCAGTGTGTGCCTCAAGGGGATTTGATTTTGGGTGAGAATAGCCAATGCATAAAATTGTATAATGTTAATAACACTATGCATTCTCACTTCTGTGCTGGCTGTTTGCCATGTCAGGGGTATTACAATAAAAATCACTGAGAGTGATGAACAATGAACTTTGATGAGACCAGACAAGTAGAATGGTGATGGAACAAGAACTGGTTTCAACATGGAGCAATCCAACACTAGACACCATTTTTCCAGTCCTGACAGAGTATTATGTCAGATGGAGCCCAAAGTCATGGGCTAAATGAACTCAACAGAGTTTTATAGACATAGTTCATACCCTAAACAATGAGATCTGTGAGTTTATATCAAATTACAGAAAAGGTGGTGATGGAATGTATTGGAAAAGGTGGGAGCAGGCATGACGTAAATGGTATGGAATAAGGGGTGGACACTGTCCTGGTCTTGGCTGAGATAGTGTTAATTTTCTTCCTAGAAGCTGGTCCAGTGCTGTGCTTTGAATTCAGAATGTTGTTTGTTGGCTCCCGTGCTGAGCCCCACGTGCTCCCCTGAGTTGAAAAGTAAAAGGAGAGGAGAAAAACCTGTTGGTGCAAGTGACAGTCGCAGTCTGGTCGAGAGTGGTGGTCTCAGTCTGGTTGAGAGTGGTGGCCGCAGTCCGGTTGAGAGTGGTGGTCTCAGTCTGGTTGAGAGCAGTGGTCGCAGCCCAGTTGAGGTTCTGGTCCTTCTCTGGATCCCACAAGTGGTACCAAGAAGTCCCAAGACCCCAAGATCATATACTCTCAGGTTCAGGCCAGAATGCCCAGTACCTCCCTCAGGGCTGGGAGTTCCACAATGGGTGTGAGGATAGGAACATCCTCCGATCTCACAGGCCTCTTAACACCCAGCTTATAGCCTGAGGGGTCAGGTGTGCTCTGGGCAGCTGCTGCAAATTGTCTATTGTTAACAATTTCTGGGAAATGGCATGGAGAGTGTAGAATAGACACTTTGGGTTACACCTACACAGTGATGAACTGCTCCCAGCTGTTCTAACTAGGACACACGGTAAGTCTCTGGATGCGGAGCAATGCAGGTGAGTTCCTGGAAGTGTCTCCTACACCTGCCAAATGCCACCAGTGACAGGACCTGTCAGGATGGCTCTCCTGGATTTCCTGATATGCAGCAGAACATGCTCCAGACCAGGACTTTCCTGCTGCCCCATCAGAGGGACAGGGCAAGAAGGTTCCCCTGTCCCACAGGTGGCTGTGGGATGGGAAGGTGGGGGTGCGGCCAGGGGTGCCCAGGGCTGTCCTGCAGAGCAGGGTCCTGCCCCCCAGGGCTCTGTGTGCTGGGGCAGGGACTCTGCTGCCTGCCAGGTTAAGCTCTCAGCCCGGCCAAGGAGCTCCCCACGGCCTTGCAGGGAGAAGGTGTGGGTGGAAGGAGTGACCCCTCATGGCAGGGCAGGGATGAGCGGGGCAGGGATGGGTAGAGCAGGGATGGGTCCTTCAGCTGCAGGGTCAGGGCTTCAGCTCTACTTTGTGCCATTTCCCAAGGGCTCTTCTCAGGAAGCACATCCACTCAGAACACCTTCCCCTTCCCAGCCACATCAGGTTGTCTGGGATCTGCTCTGCAGCCCCTGGACACACAGAACTGCCCCTGGGCAGTGGGGTAGGGATGACCCTGTGAGTACTGGCAAGGAGCTGAGCTGGGCACAGGGAGGGGCTGCTGGCAGGAACAGCTCCTCACCCAGAGACAGGCAGGAAGTGAGAGGAAGCTGCTGCCAGAAATGCTGGGCAAGGGGATGTGGGTACCTCCATGCTGTCCCTGTGGCACAGACACCTTCCCCTGAGCAGCTCCTCCCTGGGCTCCTTTCCAGCCTAAG